ATTTCAAAAGGTAGAAAATGACAAAAAGGATCCAAGAACCAAAGGGGGAAATACAAGTAAATAGCAAGACAATAGATTCAGTGTAAACTGAAGTTATATACCAATAAGCCCACCATAGATTGAAAATATGGTTATCTGAAAATGTATTTAGCAGAAAACCCAGCAAATACCTTACCACACCAACAGAGGACACTGTGGAGGACCAGCTGTTTACCCTGGTGACTGCATGGCTGAATGTAAACTGTGGCTCACTGCTACTGCCCAGCATGACAGCGTACCACACCATACTATAGTAGCCCAGGCAAAGATCAAACTTAAAAACTTGAAATACAGTGTGTTACTGAGTTTGTACGGCTTTCAAACTGTTAGAAAACTGAAAACAATGTGAACCAAACTATTTATTAGAATAAACTGCCCAGAACATGGCATGGTAGCCTAGTGGCTAAATCCTCATCTTGCATGCGCTGGGAATCCCATACTGGTGCTGGTTTGTATCCCAGCTGTTCCACTTCCCATCCAGCTCCCTGCTGATGGCCTGGGAAAGCAGCAGAGGATGGTCCAAGTCCTTCGGACCCTGCACCCATGGGAGAGACCCCAAAACAGCCATTGTATCCACTTAGGGATCCCAACACATACAAGGCATGAACTTTAGCAGCGAGGCCACCAAGTCGGGCCCTCTGTCTCTCCTTCTTTGTGTAAATCTGACTTTCCAATAAAAATAAACAAATCTTTAAGAAAAAATCAAAGACACATGTTGAAAAGGTACACATGTAAAATTCAAAATGTGGTATAGAACATTATACTGTTAAATAACTATAAATCATACAGATTGAAGTTATACAACGGATATTCTCAAAGTAGTTGAATAAAAATAAAATCAACAACATAAGAGCATGAAAAATCTCCAAATATTTTCGCACTAAATGAAGTGATTCAAGGACTAAAGAAGAAATCATTTTTCATAAAAGCATGAGTCAAGGTGAGTGATATAAAGCTGAAATAATGCTTACAGGTGAAACCCACACTATCAGCACTGCATCTGAAAAGAAAGGACTCTAACCACTTTTTAATAGAATGCAAGAAAAAGAAATGTATTGGTAAATGAGATTAAAAATTATCTTGATTCACAAAGGACAAGTTTAGTAATGAAGGAAAGCTTAATCAATTTTCAGACTTACTACAACTGATAAATGGCTTTTACAGCCTACAGAACACAAACTGAGTATAAATTATATACTGGAAGAGTAAAGTTAGAAATTTTTATTTATTTTGTTTTAAGATTAATTTATTTATTTGAAAGGCAGAGTTACAGAGAGGGAGAGACAGAAAAAATTTTCAGTTTTAGCTCACTCCCAAACGGTGACAAAGCTGAGACTGGGCTGGGCTGAAGCCAGCCACCAGGAGCTTCTTCCAGGATTGCCAAATGGATGTTCCAAGCACTGGATGGCCCAAGCACTGGGGGAGGGAGGGGTAAGCATCTTTCACTGCTTCTTGCAGGCTAATAGCAGGAAGCTAGATTGGAAGTGGAGCAAATTTTGTTGTTGTTGTCGTTAAAAAAACACCTTTTTTTATGGGACAGTGTTGGAAGGCGTTTGTTGTTACAAAACTGGTCAGTGGGCCTGAGGAATCTGCCCCGGCAAATGCCAGTACCAGGGTCATGCAGCATAGAACCCTGTGGAGGGCAGGCGAGAGGCCTGCACAGATGGTCGCTCAGAGTGAATAGGTCTCTGGGCCAACTCCTTGGCAATAGCAAAGGACCCAGGTGGCAAAGAACCAATGGACACCTGAGGCCACCAGAAGCTAGAATGACACAAGAAAGATTTTCCCTTGTGGAAACATAACTGCAAACTTTGATCTTAAGTTTCCAGGCTCCAGAACTGCAAGAAGATAAGACTCCTATTATTTAAGCCACACAGTTTGTGGTACCAGGTCACAGAGACAATGGTAAGAACTGAAATTATAAAACTTCCCAGACAAAACATTGAGTGAATTCTTTGTTATCTTCATTTTGGCAAAAATTTTAGACACAACACAAAACTGTCATACATAAGAAAGTTAAGATATTGGATTTCATGAAAATAAAGAACCATAACTTTCTCAAAAACATTTCCTTTGTATGCACAACAAAGGAAACAACTTAGTTAAGAGGCAACCTATGGATTAGCAGGAAATACTTGCAGGCCTCACACCTGATACAAAATATGTATTGAATTCAAACAACTCTAATCAAGATAATCATTTAAAAATGAGCAAGGACTTTAACAGATATTTCTGAAAAGATGACTTACAAACAGCAGAAAAATGCAAACTGCATCATTAAGCATTAGGGAGATCCAAATTGAAATTACTGACAAGATTAAAAGTAACTGTTGACAAGAATATGGAATATTCTTTGTGGGAATGTAAATTAGTTACAGCCATTATGGAAAACAGAATGGGAAAACAGAACAGAATTTCCAAAAGATGCAGCAATTTCACTCCTGGGTATTTGCATGAAAGATCCGAAATCATCACGCTAAAGAGGAGTTCACACACCCATGTTCACTGTAGCACTATTCACAATAGCCAGGTTAAGGAATCAACCCTTCATTTATTTGAAAGGCAGAGCTGCGGAGGTTCAAAATAATTTCCATATATGTAAGCAATTATTTCAGAGTCCAAAGAGTTAACCTGGAGCTGGATGAAAATAGATGACTAGTAGGCATTCTGGTCTGAGAAGAGAGAGGAGATAAAAACAAAAATGCTGGGGTCACCGTTATGGGGCAGTAGGTAAGGTGACAGTAGCATCCCACATAGGGGGAGTGGTTCCACTTCCCACCCAGCTCCTTGCTCCTGGCCTGGGCAAGCAGTGGAGGACTGCCTGGAGGACTGCCCAAGTGCCTGTCACAGGGGAAACTCTTGACATCAGACCAACCCAGATCTGGTCACTGCAGCAGTTTGGACAGTGAACCAGTGGATGGCAGATTTGTCTCTCACTTCCTCTCCCTCTCCCTAACTCTTTCAAATAAATAAATAAATAAGAAAAAGCTGAAAAAGTTTTTTTTTCCATCTCCAAGAACTATTTCAGATCAAACAAGACTTTCTATAAAATCCCAGAATCTCAAGAGACTGGTTCCCTTAAGATCTTGAGACTCATTTTCTCATCTTTGTCTCTAACAGTTATGATTATATTCGATCAAATAATCCAGAATCTCACATCTACAATTATACATGAAAAATTATCCCATTTGGATTATCTGGAAACTGTGATCCAGAGAAGATAAATTGCTCACAGTAAATACATAACTGAGCTCACCCATACCCAGTTCAATTTTTCCACTACATGTGAACTGTTAGGATTCCAGTACATGTCAAAAATAATGTGTAATATGTTCATGTTACACATGAATGTTTTAGCCAAAATAGTAGATTCTAATTCAGTCACTATTTTATGTTGGATATTTTCATAATCAACAACTATTTTGTATGTGTATAAAGGCTAACACAAGTCATCCTTTTTTGAGCTATTCCTTATCTGATTCTTTGATACACTTGTTAATTTTTCATGTATTATAATTTTTCTTATTTTATGCAATATTTAATTCACTTTCTCAAGAGTTTCACTTGTTAACCTACTTTTCACATTTATCTTAACAAAGTAAAACTGATTCTAGAATAATTCTGTTGAAAAATCAGTATACCTTTGTGTATACTTGACAGTAAATGAGTTAATCTCATAATAATAAGTCAAGTTAGCTAGCTTAAGCCACTAGACAATATACACTAAATTTAAGACAACATGAAATATGGTAAATATAAATAATTTTTCTGTCATTTAGAACATTCTATAAAAGTAAAGAATTTCCCCAAACTGAAAACTGAAGAAGTAAATTCACCAAAACATTTGGTTGTAAATTCCTGAAGTCTCATATAAACAGGAAACAATAAAGTTACAAATTGTATCTAAATATTACCTTTAAATAAAAGCTTACATCTCAGTTACAAAAGTACTTGGGGGGGGGGAACTTCTGTAATGTGCAATAAAGAAACTAAAAGCAGATACAAAAGTGCAAAACTAGTTTTTTTTTTTAGGCTGTGTGTACATAAGTAAGTTGCTGCTAAAACACAAGAGGTATGTCATCCTCACAAATTAACATTACAGGATCACTCATTACTTCCACATCAGAAGGTAACAAACCATAAAAAACTGTAAGGAGATAAAAAAAAAAAAAGATAGAATACCTGAATCCACATGTTAGATGATTTTTAGCTTGCAAATTTGTCTGAAACAAATTTAAAGCATCTATTTATCCCAATAAAAATAAAATAAAACCAATTTATATAACCCACGTAGACAGTCTCACGATAAACAAAAAACATACTATTTCCTCCACTGAATCAAGATCAAAGACATTTAAGCATTTAACTAAAGCTTCTTAAAGAATGGCAATGGCATAGGTTAGCTGGTGGGTAGATGGGAATTCAAATAAAACCAGTCTGAGTTCTGAAATATTTTCCCAAATATTTTGAAATTTTGAAACTGATTTTCTTGTAAGACAGAGAGGGGTGCTGGATTAAACAGCAATTTACATAGCTTCTTAACATCCTCTCTCGACAACTGCTAGGAACTGCAGGGCAGGAAAGGGTTAAGAGCAGAATCCAGCCTGGACCTGGGATTCCATCACTACAGTATCCTACCCTTCTGAGGACGTCAGCTCAATGACTGCTGTCCTCTAACGGATGACCCCTTAACTTTCTTCTGGTGTTCCGGCTCTTCAGAGACAAAAGTAATGGCAGTATTATAAAACTGGGGTAAGTGGCATTTAAACCTGCGTAGCTGGATGCTGAAATGTCAACATTTGGGCTAAGGCCTTGTCTATTGGGATTTCTAAAAAATGCTAAGAATCAGGGCATAAATTAGTGATGGATTATGTGTTCACTTGCTACTTGCACAATTTCTAGAGAAGCAGTGGAAACAGCATTACTTAGAAAAACTACGAAATAAATAATTTGGATGGTACCTTTTGATAAACAATGGAGCACACAAGATCCTTGACGGCGGATAAAGACAGCTCCTGGGCTTCGATGGTAACATTCTCCCGCGAGAGGCCGATCTGCAGCAGAAACGAGACCGTGTGCACGGAGCCTCCGGAGTTGGTGAGTGATGGTGCACTGAAGCTTCCATTCGAGAGGCGGGCCGACAGCCCCGTCCTGGGACTGGAACACGGAGAAGGCGCTGGAAGCACAGCAGGAACAGGTGCCGGTAATACAGACTTCTGTGCGGATGGAGGGGAATTATTTGCAGACATCTGCCTTTCTTTAATCGTTCAAAATACTTGTCAGTTCTTTTTAACTGGTTATGAAGAGGTTATTAAAATAACAGCAGTAAAAAAACCCAAGTGCACTTTTGAATTTAGTTGACAGCTTCTTGACTTCCTCTTTTAAAGCACTCATGCCTGTAAGTCGTGTCTCTGCGAGTCTGAGGACACAAGACACTGCTCTTCACAGCAGTCCCAGCCAGCAGTCCTGGAGATCACAAGCAGGGATCCGCACAGGATGCACCATCACCGAGTTATCTTCTTGGAACAGCTAACACTGCTTGTTTACTAAACATCTTCACCTAGTTTAAGTCCATTCTTGTTGCTCCCTTTTCATTTCAAAGCACAGCACAAAATAAAAGTTGTTTTACTGTCAAGATGAAATTCTCCTGGCTTCAAAAATAGTATGTCTTGGGTTGATCTACTGAGCACTTATCCTTGAGAGTTCATTAATTCGATGAGATGCCTTCTAGAACACTTATACCTTAAATCACCTTCTCACACATCCTTTTCACTTTGGGAAGTGAGCTTTCCTATGAAGCACAAAGTTTTCACAAATAAGACAGGCATATTTCACTTGACAACTGGGTCAGTCGAGACAAGCAGATGCTCTAAGAAACAGCCTAGAAGGAATTTTTAAAAAGGTTTTTTAGTGCAATATATTTATTTGACACTAATTTTAAAAAGAATTTCCATAATTTTTAAATGGTAAATATTTGGTCATATGTTTATAATTCATTAATCCAAGGAAGTCATTTTTTGTCTAGTTATTAGATTTATACCTGAAATTTACAGATCAAACTTTTCAAAGTTATTTTATTTTAAACTGATGAAGATTAGCATTTTTATTCCACAATTATACAATGAAACTATAACAAAAACAGGGGGGGAAAGGCCAAAAAGAGTAAGACTACATGAAATGCACATTTCCTAGCTATATAAAGGATGCATAATTTCCTAACAGATAAATCAAGTGTTAACAGTAAAAGTCTAGTTCTGCCAGACTATGAGTTGCTTTACTGGCCATCCCCTTTCAGCAGGTTAAGGAATTAAGTAGGGCACACTATGTCATACATAGTTATATAGCCAACAGAGTGTGAAAGTCAGGGCATGAAGACAGGAACATAGGAGAGATGGTCTCATCCACTTCTGAAATCAAGGATTTCAAACAGGAAGAAAGAGAACACCAGGTCCAGTGAACACGGACCATCAATTTTAAGCACAATGCAGAAAGTCATATAAAAAAGGTACAATCTCGACACGGCTAAGTGAAATGGGCCATGAGACGGAGCCTTCTACATTCTCTTACACATCCATAAACAATTTCAGTGCTGAGAATGAACGAAGTTCCCAATGTGGTTGCATTGAGTATTCAGAGTAATTTATGGAGCTAAATTAGGATGCCTATGACATACAGGTGGCATAATAGGAATAGGGGTGTTCAGAAGAAAAAATGAGAATCTGAAAAAAAAATGTGCAAAAAGCTTAAATAGTTACATTCAAGGAAACGACCATCATCCCATCTTATATTGTGGAGCCCTGATTGATGTTTCACATACTTTACATCTCAGGACACTTAAAAAAAAAATAGGGCCTGGCGTGGTAGTCTAGCGGCTAAAGTCCTTGCCCTGCATGTGCCAGGACCCCATATGGGCACAGGAGGATCTTCCAGGTCTCCAACATCAGGGCAGGGTTCCAAGGCTTTTGAACCATCCTCCTCTGTTTTCCCTGGTCAGAAGCAGAGAGCTGGATGGGAAGTGCAAAGGTTGGGACATGAACCGGTGCCAATATGGGATCCCAGCACTTGCAAGGGAGGAGTTAGCCATTGAGCGATTGTACCAATCCATGACACTTCAAAAACTTGATGTGGAAACACTACCACTTTTGCTGCTGAGCAAACTGAAGCACAAGTAATGAACTGGCAACCATATGGCTCTGAAAATACAGAGTGGGAATCAGAATCCAGGTCTCATACTGTTTAACCTACTGCTGTTCTCAAAATTACCAACTATTTCTCAAGATGACCCAAAAGCTGAGCAAATACTGCTCAGAAAGGATATAGCTAAAGTATAGAGGTTACAGAAACAGAACAGCTCCACCTGGATTTTGCTTATTTTTTCTAACAATTTTGAATCTAAAGCTTCCCATCCAGCTCCCTGCTTGTGGCCTGGGAAAGCGGTCAGGGATGGCCCAAAACCTTGGGATCCTGCACCCATGAGGGGGACCTGGAAGAAGCTCCTGGCTCATGGCTTCGGACTGGCTCAGCTCCAGCCGTTGCAGCCACTTGGGGCGTGAATCACTGGACAGAAGATCTTCCTCTCTGTCTCTCCTCCTCTCTGTATATCCACCTTTCCAATAAAAAGAAATAAATTTAAAAAAAAAAAACCTGACTATGATGAATAAGAAACTACAGCAACTTAGCGAATATAGTTTGGTCTTCATGGTTCAGATGCAATGTATTCTACACTGCTAAGGCAATTAGCAAAAATGACTTCTATAACCTTGGACGAAAAAATGCAGAGAAAATAAATCATGGCCTAGAGTTGGGTACAATTGCTTCAAATACCGGGAAGTAGAGAAGGCAGTACGTATATTTCAGAAATCAGATATGGAAAAAACTTAATATAAACTCTTAATATAAATCCAAATCTGAGAATCTATTATGAAAAAAACATGGTTTGAAAATAACTAGAGAATAATATGATTATCACTAGATGTCAGTCCCAGATCAAACACGCAAGAACCACAAAGTCAACTGATGTACACTTTGAAAAATTAATGACTGCTGTATCAGGAGACAGCTGTTTACATGCACTGAGCTACACTATCTACCGGCAGGACGGCTGTCCTAAGAAATCCGTACATATGTGAAGTTTTCTCCAACATCACACAATTAGGAAAGGCAGAGAAAAAGCACATTCTGATAAAAACCACTAGTTAAGATGGTTTTCCAGGCTCTTTGTAAACGTGAATAGTGTCTTCACAAGGTTCATGGAGAACAGAATTAAAGGGTGTTTATTTTTTTGTGTCAATTTTTATAAAAAATGCATCCATGAAGGGCCATCTGAAGCTCGTGGGAAATAATTTTTATTTAAAAAAAAAACTGCACAGATTTAAAGATCTTTAGGGGAGCTGCTGGTACAGACAGGACAGAGACATGGCCTCTCTGCTGTTGACTCTACAAATGACTGCCAGTACGAGGCTGGGCACCAGTGCTGCAAGTCTGGAACTCCTCCTGGATCTCCCACTGGGTGACAGGGACTAAGTACAAGGACCATCCTCCACTGCTTTCCCAGGCACATCAGCAGAGAGCTGGATTGGAAGTAGAGCAGGCAGGATGCCAACTGGCACTCACATGGGATGCCCGGGTTGTGGGTGGCGGCTGAACTCAGTGTGCCTGGTTACGGCCCCAATTTCAAATACTTTTCACATCAAAATAAATGTATCTTTCAATTACATTTCCTATAAAGTCTTGCAGTATCCTCAAACGTCACTTGCAAGCTGGATATTACTGCAATTGGGCCACTGATGCGATGTCTGTGGGAAGTTTTTAGGAGCACGCTTGGAACTGTGTCAGCAGCCCTATACTGCTTCTCATTAATTAGGAGGTTATACAGTCACAAAGACATGCATGCAAAATCCCCAATCCAGAAGAAAGAAACTAAAGCTAAAATTAAAGTCAGCAAGGATAAGTGTAAAGCTCTCCATTTAGTTTCAGAAAATTGTGCAAAACAAAATGCGGAAATTCTGATTGGGAAGCTGTCCCTGTGAGAGGAAGTTACAACTTAAAAGTTAGTATCAGTTGCTACTGTAACAGGTGACTCAGAAAGGTGATGTACACCTAAGCCTCCATCACACACAGAAGGCGTCAGCATCGTTCTCGCTGCCAGTCAACCCAGCTATGCTCTTCACAGAAAGAGAACCAGCGTCTCGGCGAAGCTGCTGCCGCCCACACCTCCACAGCTGACTGGTAATAGAGCTGAGGTGCACACTGGCCTCCCAAACTCTTAATGCCCCAGGTTCTTCCACCTCCACCAACCCAACAAAGAGACACGATGTCTGATGAGGTCATTAGTTCTATAGCATAACTGACTCAAGTTGTTTTAGAAAACTGAACAAGAGGATAAGGGTGAGGGGATAAAAGTTGGATAATGTGTACTGGATCAGAGGCAAAAGGAATACACTCTTGGTATTACACAGCATAGTGGGGGCAACTATAGTAATCCATTACATTGTTTCTGAATAGACAGAGATGAGCTCCAAGGCTCCAATTATGAAATGACAAAGAGGGGGAAATGTTAATTACTGATGTGATCAGTATGTATTACGATCTATCTGTATACTGTACAGATAGTATACTGAAAGGTCAATGTTTTCCATAAATATGTACAATTATCATTCATATGTTTTAAAAAAAGACAGCTGAACAACACAGTAAAATATTCATGGGTAGGGATGACACTTGGCATCAGTTGTGCTACAGCAGGTAAAAGCCACTGTCTGAAACACCCCTCGTGAGTGCTGGCCCAAAACCCAGCTGCTCCACTTCCTATCCAGCTCTCTGCTAACGTGCCTGGGAAAGCAGTGGAATGATGGCCCAAGGGCTTGGATCCCTGCACCCACGTGGGAGATGGGAAGACACAGTCCTAGCTTGCACCCTAACTGCTGAAGCCATCTGGAAAGTAACCCGGGCTATGAAAGAGCTCTTTCTCTCTTTCACTTTCTGTGTCACTCTTCCAAATAAATAATCTTTAAAAACAAACAAACAAAAATAAAACAAATCTATGTTCCTGACTTTGGTCCTGGCCCAGTCTTGGCCACTGCAATCATTTGGGGGTGTTAACCACTTCATGAGAGCTCTTTCAAATAAATAAAATTTAAATTTAAAAATGTATTCTAATATATGTCTTCCTAGTAATTTTTATTTTATTATACCTATAAATTTAAGACAACTATCAGTAACTGTCCAATAAAAATGTCTAATTTATCAGAATAACTATTCATAACTATAAACTTTTGTGTGAAATTATTTTTTTAAAGTTTCAGCATGTCACAAAGAAACCAAACATGTCACAGTAGCTTTTGCCCACGTATCCTGATTTCCATTCCTCCTTCCTTTTATAGAATCCCTGTCAGCTCTATAAGGTATGAAAGGGTAGGGTGTAAAACAGTAACACCAAATGCCAAGAGAAATCCATTAATTCCAATTTATGTGAACATTGGTATATTGCTGAATTCTCCTTCTTTGTGCTTCAATCAGAAAACTGAAGTGGTACACATTAATTTATAAATTGCATATCAATTAGATATGTTTCTAATATAGGTTATTTCTAACATCTATGAAAGAACCTGTATATAAAGATATCATCTAGTTGGCACATTTTTAATATGCTTACTTGGAGTATCTCAGAATTACCTGTCACATATCTCATTCTAACAGGCTTCTTTCATCTGTTGCCATCACTGAATGAAATCAAAACATAGAATCAGAAGATATCTTGAGTCCAGCCTGCTCTGTTCTAACAAAAGTGACATGAAGGCCCTTAAATGTAAGGGACCTACCTGAGGGTTACTGCATGAAAACATCACTGGTGGATCTACTTTCTGCTCTTCCTCCTCTTTCCCCCTTACTTCCCCTCACTACAAATACCTGATTTCTTTCTTAACCAAAATCCCTAAGGAAAAGATCTAACAGCATCATTTTCACTCAATACTTAGTACTTACTGTTAAAGATTGCTCTAAGAGATGGCAATTACCCGGCAGTAACCAAAACAGTGTGGCCACTGCTCTCTCCCGATCCCACAGGCCTTAAACAAGCATTCAAGTCAGTAGCTGGATAATTACAAACCACGAGAATCTATATGAGCAAGTGTAATAATGGGACCTAATTTCAGTTGGGGTCTCAGGCAGGGTTCATCTAAGGAAATACTTACGCAGGACTTCTGAATAAGCAGCAGTCAAGGAAGCAAAGACAGAATTCCAGTAAGAAAAAACATGTCGAGTTATTAAATATTTCAAAAGGAAGTCTGCTATTTAGTGTAGCCAATGTTCTTTTTGTACTCAAAAGGGTAGAGTGAAGAGCTAAGAATGCTTTTCCTATTCCAAAAGCAGAATTATTTATCATGCCTGTACAAGTGAAAAGTTTTCCAAAGTTCAATTTAGTTTTGTGGGCTAATAATGCTAAACAAAGTCGAGGGTTGTACATGTTTCGAACCATTCGTGTTTGCCCTGATGCAGGCCTGACTCTGCTTAATAATCCTGATATTGTTTTTGCATTGCCTACTGCACAAAAACCCAAATCTTGTTTCTTTTATAAAAGTCAAAATTTGCAGCAAGCTCTGCTTTTATTTTCATACATTTTCAAACACATGACCATTTCCTTACATTAGTATTCTCTCCCTGTTAGGAGCTCAGCATTTAGCTAAATTCTTCCCTCTAAAATGCTGCTCATCTGGACAGTGGCCCATAAGCCTCAGCCTTTTCACTATCCACAGAGCTTAAGAGGGCCCACCGTGTATCCTCCCCGCTCCAGCACTCAAAGTTTATCCAATAATAATATTACAGACTGGCAAGCACCTCGAATCTATGGTGAGTCTGATGTGTCCTCATCTTTCTTTGCATCAGTAATGTCTGAGCCATCGGACTGGCTAATAGCCAGTGAGCAGTTTCTCACTGCCCCAGCCAACCAAGCAACCAATCACGCAAGGTGAGAACGCTTTTTCCTAAGGACCCCAGGGACACACATACATAAACAAGTTTAGTCTGAATTATATAATCAAGAGGACTCAAAATACAACAGCACAGGAAATTCTGAATCACTGGCATGATTACTAAATCAAATTAAAACTTGTACTAGTCAATAATTTCCTCATATATCAAGTTCTGAACCAGGCACATTTAAAACGTAAAACGCATTTAACTGACTGCCGAATTTTCTTCCTATATGAGGTGTCTTCGATTTTCACATAATCTTAAACATTTTACATCCAAAAATCTTTTATTTGATTTTTGTGTGTGCAGTGAAAACCCCACTAACAGGAATGCATGTGCATGTTAAAGGGGTCATCTGGCGAAACTGAAACCTTATAAAATCTGGATAAAAGATCAAGCATTATCTGAGCCACTTTTCAAAATTCGTTTTAAATACAGGCCCATCAACTTTCTTTTAGCCCATTGATCCTGAAATGTGAACCACTTCATAAGTAGCTCGACAAACAGGAATACTCCAAGCTCATCTGATCAGGCCCTGCACATTAACATTACTACCACACGAAGCAAAATCAGCCAAGACAGTTCCTGCCGCCTGTTTGAAATACTACTTTTATTAAAACTTGTCTTTGACTTTTGGCTGAATTTCCACACTTGACTCAAGATTCTAACCGGGGAGGGAGCAGGGGTCCTTGCACAGGGTGAGAGTGACCGCAGCCACAGCAGCGACAGGGAAGCTTTCCAAAGGTATTCCCCGCCCTCACGCTCACCGCACTAAAAGTTTGCAAACCTGACTTAAGCAAAAGCAAAACCGCGCAAAATCTACAACATAAAAAACAAAATAAAAGCATTCTCAGAGCAACAAATATAAAATCTTCGGTGATACGAAACGAAAACGTTTTACAAGTCTTTCATTTACTGGTGGCCACAAGCCCTGTAGGCAGCAGCCTCCGAAGTCGAAGTCGTAGTTCAGGGTGGAACTTATCCTCCCTCATCAAAGATAACACCGATAAGGCTTATTTCCTGTGTGGGGATGGGTGTGGCTGAAGAAGACAGTTAGGTCCCAGCCAGCAATCTGCGCAGGGACAAGTCTGCAGGTCGCAAGGCACCCGATTTACATTCGCGCTTACAGACGGTCAGGCCCAGGCTTCGGGGTGCAGGAGTGCAAAGAAAACGCCCAACAGTATGCGGTTATTATTACTATTTTTTTAATTGCTCCAAATGCAGCCGCAAATCCTCGGCGTTTCATCTTCACAGACACCTCGGAGGGGTGGGAGGGGAGGTGACAGCAACTCGGGGGGGGGGCAGTGCTGCAACTTGCCAATAAATCTAAACGCCTTTGGGACATTAAGGGGTGCGGGCTCTCATTCCACTCACACCCGCACACCTCCCACCTCGCCCCCCAAAAAATCTGCCTCCTCTGAGACCGGGCACCACCGAAAGTGATGAAAAATGTAAAAGGCTCAGCCCAAACCGTGCTTTGCGAGAACCGCCGCGGGCCTGGGCGTCGGGAGCCAGTTTGGCAGACCCGGGACAGAGGGTCCCTCCCCGCCACCCCCAGGGCTGGACGCCCGTTGCGGTCACCCTCCCCCCCCCCTGTCGAGCGAGAACCCAAGTTGGGCTGAGCTCGGACGCCGGAACTTGGCCCCGTCGCGCCGCCCGCCGCCCCCAGCCCGCCGCGCGCTCCCCCAACTTCCCGCCCAGCCCGGCGGCCACCGCCCAGCCCCGCACGCCGTCCGGGTCCCGCCGACGCCGCGTGCGGGGCGTGGGGGGAAGGGCCGCCGGCGACTCGGCCCCTCGGGCCGGGAGAACAAAGCGGCGGCGGCACCAACTTTTTTCGGTGTGTGCTCCGCTGCTCCCTGAGGCGATTACTTACTGAGGCGGACACGGCCGGTCGTGAGCAACTCGGCGCCCGCCCGCGTCTGGACCCCAGAGCTGGCGGGAGCGAGCCTTCACGCGCCTCACACGATCCCGCCCGCCGCCGCCGCCGGCGCCCCTTCCTCTCTCTCCCTCCCCGTCCCGTCCTGAGGCCGGAGGGCGGGGGGCCGGGGCGTGCGGGGCGGGGGCTCGCGAGGGGCGGGGGCGCGCGGCCGGCGCGGGGCCTGCCGGGAGCTGTAGTTCCCCCGGCGCGCCCGGCCGGGGGGTGACGGCCGCGCCGGGCGGTCGTGAGTTCTGTGGGAAGCCGCGTGCTGGTCGGCTTTGCTCGTCTGCCCTCCTCTAGGTCGGCGCGGCGCGGCGGGTGCGGGGAAGCGGCTCGAGGGAGCAGTCTACTTCGCGGCAGCTCTGTCTACTAGCACCGTCGATCCGGGATGCCCGCCTTGTCCTCTCGCGGTCGGCTCTGCGGGGGTGCGGCGACCGCCAGGGCTGAGAAGTGACAAGTTGAAAGGCCGGCTTGCGAGGTGGCCGGAGCAGGGGGCCACGCGGGTCTCAGTCCTACTCACATCCCTCCCGCCTGGTCCCCCCACGCTGGCCCCGGGCTCCTCAGCCCCGCGCGTTTCGCACCGCGACTGGCACCCCCCAAAACCCTTCCCCGACAGCCAGTAAGCTCGGGTGGCGACCCTCCCTGTGTGTCTCCTCTTGGTTCCTCCAGCGTGACGCCTGTCACCGAGGTTAAGCGTAGTCAAGACCGCCGGGGTCCGTGGGAGAGTGCGGAGAAAACCCTGCAGTTGGACGACGTGTTGTCCCGAAAGTCCTGGTGGAAAAGGAATAAACCCTGATCCCCCCATCCCCACCTGCCTGCGGAAGTTCCCCGGGCTGCTTTTGGCGACAGAAGGAAAAAAAAAAAAAAAAACCTTGAGTGGATCTCTGCATTTGATACCTAATAATCAATCTTTCCATCTCCTGGATTTAAGGTTGAAAACAGAACTTTAAAAGTGCGTGCTAACCATGAGGCAAGTAAAATTGTGAGTAACCCTGATCTACCCCCAGCCATGATTTGCAGTTTTAAAGACATTCCTGACCCTTTCTCCGGGAACTGGAAACTGCTGAATGTCTTCCATCCAGCATCAATCTAATTGTATCCTACTTGAAGTTTTTATTCTGCCTTTTTGTTTGTTTGTTTGTTTGTTTTACTTATTCCCCACGTCCTATTTCAGAGTGCCTGATGTGTGCCTGGGCTCCCTATCCTATTGCGGCTTCTGGCAAATGAGTGCCCAGTAAAGGAGCAGATAGATAATGGCTGTAGGAAGTTGGGCTGCCACCACCCACGTGGAAGACCAGGTCCAGCTGTTGTGGCAACTGGGGGAGTGAATCAACAGATGGAAGTTCTCTCTGTGTTTGTCTCTTTCTGTGACTTTCAAACAAATAATAAATAGGACTTTGAAAAGGAAATGTAGACGTCTAGTCTTGCCCAAATATCCTTTCTCAGTGAAATTCCTAGGTCCTTGTCATCGCCCTCTCACTGTTGACTTCTACTTTCTGCTGTAAAAAAGAAGCAGAAATTACTCATCCTAGAAGGAGCTTTCCCTAACAAGTCAAACCACTGTTTTACGGCTTGCATATCTATTCTACAGAGTTTTAAATGTTTACTTGCATTTCTGAGGATTGACACTTTGAAAAAAATGTATGGACAAGCAGAATGAAAAGATATGTTTAGGAACTGAAAGGGTGGCAAACAATGTAATTTTTCGCCTGCAGTGCCAGCATCCCATATGGGCACCAGTTCTGTCCTTGCTGCTCCACTTTCCATCCAGCTGTCTGCTTGTGGCCTGGGGAAGCAGAGGAGGATGGGCCAAAGCCTTAGGACCCTACCCTGCACACGTGTGGGAGACCCAGAGGAAGCTCCTAGCTCCTGGCTTTGGATCAGTCCAGCTCTAGCCATAGCATAGCAACCGAAGTACTCCCCATGAACTCTCCAGGATCCTATATGGGCACCGGTTCTAATGCTGGCATCCCCACTTCGCATCCAGCTCCATGCCTGGGGCCTGGGAGAGCACTCGAGGATGGCCTAAAGCCTTGGGATCCTTAACCAGCGTGAGAGACCTGGAAGAGCTCCTGGCTCCTGGCTTCAGATTGGCTCAGCTCCAGACAGTGTGGCCGCTTGGGAAGTGAATCAACAAATGGAAGATCTTCCCCTGTCTCTCCTCCTCTCTGTATATCTGCCTTTCTAATAAATCTTTTTTAAAACAATGACAGGGCCCGGCGCGGTGGCGCAAGTGGCGCAAGTGGTTAAAGGTCCTCGCCTTGCACGCCCAGGATCCCATATGGGCGCCGGTTCTAATCCCAGCAGCCCCGCTTCCCTTCCAGCTCCCTGCCTGTGGCCTGGGAAAGCAGTCGAGGATGGCCCAAAGCTTTGGGAACCTGCACCCGCGTGGGAGACCAGGAAGAGGCTCCTGGCTTTGGATCGGCATAGTATCGGCCCGTTGCGCTCACTTGGGGAGTGAATCATCGGATGGAAGATCTTCCTCTCTGTCTCTCCTCTCTGTATATCTGCCTTTCTAATAAATCTTTTTTAAAACAATGACAAATATAAGCTGATTGATCAAAGCAGGAAGTATTTTGGAAACAGTAGCTTATAATCATCTCTTTTTAAAAAAGATTTATTTTTGCTTGAGAAGCAAAATTGGAGAAGGAGAGCTCTTTCATCCACTGGTTCGCTCACCAAATGGCCACAATGACCAGAGCTGGGCTTGTCTGAAGCTGGGAGCCAGGAGCTTCTAATGGGTCTGTCACTTGGGTGTAGGTGCCCAAGAACTTGAACCATTCTCTACTGCTTTCCCAGGCACATTAGCAGGGAGCTGGATTGGAAGTGGCAGGACTCAAACTGACACCCGTAAAGGATGTGGGGATATTGCAGGTGGAGGATTAACGTGGTACACAATGGTATCAGTCTTACGGGCATCATCTATGTTTTCATTTGCAAGCCTTGTCTTGAATTTAATGGTCTCCAAGAAAAAGGATCACCTCTTGACATACTGGAACACTCGTGGGCTTCTGTGGGCCCCTCCCCTACTGAACTGACAGCAGTATCATTTTTGTTTACTCATCGCTGAGTACAAGTGCTCAGTTTATGAGAGTTGGTGAATTTTTCCAGTATGTTCTCTCTATGTTAATTAGCATACTAATCCTAAAATACCACATGATAGCCTTTCAGTAGTCCCCTGCTAGCTACCATACCAGGTCCATATTCTCCAGCTTGGATAGGAAGGCTGTTAATAATAGCCATAGTGCCTTTATGTTTTTGTATGTGAACCTCTATCATTGTTCTACAAAGCTCTATCCTTTTGTTTATTTTTTTAAAGATTTATTTTTATTATTTTTTTTATTGGAAAGGCGGATATACAGAGAGGAGAGACAGAGAGGAAGATCTTCCGTCCGATGATTCACTCCCCAAGTGAGCGCAACGGCCGATACTATGCCGATCCGAAGCCAGGAGACTCTTCTGGGTCTCCCACGCGGGTGCAGGGTCCCAAAGCCTTGGGCCGTCCTCAACTGCTTTCCCTGGCCACAAAGGCAGAGAGAGAAACAGATCTGTTCACCATCCACTGGTTCATTTCCCAAATGACCACAGTGGCTGGGATGGCCAGGGTGAAACCAGGAGCCTGGAATTCCATTTGGGTCTTCCTCAGGGATATAGTATATAATGTCTTCCAGGCATATTAACAACAGGCTGGATGAGATTCAGACAGGTGCTTGAAATTTGGTATAAATAAAGAGAGATTACTAAATATGCTTCCCCTGGGATTTCCTATGATGCCCCCCCTTTTTAATATATTTATTTTTATTGGAAAGGCAGATTTACAGAGAGAAGGAGAGACAGAGAAAAAGATCTTCTATATGCTGGTTCAGTCCGCAAGTGGCCACAATGGCTGGAGCTGAGCCAAACCACAGCAAGGAGTTAATGGTTTCTTCTGTTCTCCCATGTGGGAGAATGACACTGGGCCATCTTCCACTGCTTTCCCAGGGATGTTAGCAGGGAGCTGGATCAGAAGTGGGGTAGCCAGGACAAGAGCCAGCAGGTGGAGAATTAGGCAGTTGAACTATTGTGCTGGCCTGGTGTCCTTCAAAGTGAATATTCTGATAATTTGCAATTTTAAAATGTGGCCACCCTCAGTAATTCATGTTTATCTTTGCTATTGCACAGTGAGTTTTCTCCAGGAAAGAGGAGGCAATGATAAACATGGCCACAAATGTTAAAATAGAATTAACATTCAATTCCTTTCGGTTAATGGGGTATTTCTTCTGTTCTGGATTTCATTTAGTTGAGTATTGTTTTGAAGTTCTGTAAACTGTTTATATTTTAAAAGCCAACTAAAAAAACAGAACTAAGTTACTACAGACTTGAATAGGGATCCATTATCGAAATTCATTATTCTATCAGCACAAACCAAAGCAGGGGAGTTGCTCTCCTTTCATGGGCGGACACTGCACCTGCCCAGGGGAGCCCATTGGAAGGGAAGGGCTGGGATGGCCCTTGGAAAACAGACTCCATTTCTACTGGATCTCACCCTGAATCAATTTTCTTCTATTTCAAGTAGAAGATACAATTACCTACCGCATAGGGTTGTTGTTAAAAGAAAAAAAAAAAAGCCAGAAAATGCACTATGTGTGTAACGTAGTCTGCCTTGGTATGCCTCACAGTTCTTCTGCTTAACAGGCTGTGTGACCATTTAGGTTGATCTGTGCACTTCAGTCACTTCATCGTTGGTTAACTGGGATGATAGGACCCTGTGAGTTGTTACAAGAATTAAAAGAGATACTGTATGGAAGACACTCCTTAAAAAAAATGCATGGCACATTAAAGAATGCACAATAAATGTCATTGAATTATTATAGAATACTATTATTTCTCATGTTATATCCCCATTTTTATATCTCTGAAGCTTTTCCTATGCTTTTGCAATATGGAGGGGAAGAAATACAATGTTGCTACACAGTCCATGGAAAGAAATTCAAAGTAACAAAAAGCTGAAAAGGAACAGGAATCCCTATGACCTTGAAATGAGATCTGTTTTTACTTCCTCAATTGAACATGTGTTTCCAGCACAGGTTTTCG